TTCAGGAGTTCCAAGCAGGGCTCAAAGGCTAAGAGGAACATAAACATACCTGTTTTCCACAAATGTTTAGCTTTTGGTTTTGCTTCTAGGTTTGTTGTCACGTTTTGGGGGTTTTTGCGTGTGTTTTTATAGAATTGGGAAGGTAGGGAAGGACAGGCACACTAAAAAACCTCTAATAAGGAGAAAAAAAAAAAACAACTCCACAGTATCCATCAAATTTTGCAGAAAGCCTCAGAAAATCTGAGATTTCAGTTACTTCTATTCCAGTGCTACATATTTCAACTACCAAACAACAGTTTACCATGTCATAACTATTTCACTGATACAGATCTCCAGTGTGTGTGGGAAGGCGGATATGGGAGAGACAAAGGCCTTCTGCTTACACAACACATTGAGCCACCACACTTTAGAAACTCCTGTTAGCATAGTTGTGCTAGTTAGGAATAATAAAAATACAGTTAGGCCAGTAAAATTAAGTTTTTGCTCAGGAAGCCGCCTTCTCTTGTATGCAGTGAAGGCAGCACGGCAAGGAAAAGCTATAATAGGACAAGTACTTCTGCTGGTAGAAGCTGCACTTCAACTAGAAAAGCACACTACTAGACCTACAGCAATAGAGCACTTCTTGTTTAGACCCAGACATACCATTGCATAGGAAGATTACACATGTCAGTCCAGTTTAAAAAGCTCTAATGAGGTATTACCTTTCAGGAGTCTGGCAAATGCCAAACTAGATTTCTTCTTCTCCCCCTCCCCCCCAATAAAATATCCTCAGTTATGCACCAAATGTAATGCTGACAGTGCAAAGAACTACAGATTACCACACAACAAAACTATGTTCCAAAACATAACACTCGCCACAGGAAGAAAGATTTGGAAACAGTTCCCTTATGTAAGCAAGTTATAGCTTTGTTTAGTAATTCAGCACTTCTGATGTCAATATTATTCATTAATCTATGTAGGTTAAAAGAATTTTATACTGCCAGTATACTGATTTCAAAGCCAGTTTGGGTCCAGAAGCTATAGCGGCTTTCATAAGCACACAGTCCAAGCTAGTAAATCCTGCTAACAAAGACACTGTTCTATACACAATCAGCTCATGTATCTCTATATCGTATTAGCAGAACCAGGGATGTACTACAAGGACACCTGACTGCACAGCTCACGCTGTCAGGACTCATCAGCTCCAGCTTAGTACTGCTCTTTCCACTCTGGGGTTTCTAGGCCACGTTCCACAGTAAAGGAGGTGCTAGGAAAGCATTGTGGTCAGGCCAAAAACCAGCCCCATACTGCTACTAGTTCTGCAATTGTAGGTTCTCCTGGAATCCAGAGTGCAGAAAACTGGTAAGAAACACTTGCACAGGTGCTATCAAGAGTCAGGAAGACTGGCACAAAACCAAAATTATGCACTGATAAACTAATCCCAAACAGCTGAGCATACCCACATGGCATTCTACCCATTAGCTCAGGTAAACATGATCTTTGTCCCCAGATGAACACAGATTTTCCAAATACAAGACCATCCAAATAATTTTCTTCCACCATAGGCATATTAGAATAGGCTACTTGGAAAGGATAAAACACATGGCACTTTTGAAAAGCGTAGTAGAAAAATTAACTACGTAACTGGTTTGCCTCATAATACTATTTTTCAGCTTCAGGGGAAAGCTTCTGAATAAATATTCACAGCTATAATGGCAACATGAGATGAGTACCACCTCCACTTTCTACAGTAAGTTCACTTTCTACTATCATTGCACTACTGAATCAGAGGCCTAATCAACATTAGCATCATTTGATTATGAGTATTCAAACAGAACCATGTCCATATCACTCTCTCCTCGTTATTCCTAACATGAAAATACAGTGTGAAAACACCTCACACTGCTCTTCATAAAGCGAACGAGGAGGGGGAAAATCCTACCCAGCAAGTTAGAATTGCCTTTATCCCTCAAAAGGACTTCAGAAGGCACTTGAGGAATATCAGCTTGAAGATGTCTCCATTCTTGCTGCAAAAGTGAGCTAAGCCCAACATTAGCAAAACCAGGGTCTGGACATCTGTTTATACCTGGAGATGAGTAAGCAACACCAAAATATAGATGCCTTCTAATACAGTAAAAAGATTTAAATCTGTGTTTGAAGCAGTAAAAACTCATCAAAAAAAAAAAAGTTCAAGTTACCTGTGCCAGAAAGACATTCCTTGGAGGTGTATATACAGGGAAGGAGATGGTGTCTCACACCTGAAGAGAAGCTCTCTTCCAAAAGCAGCCGTTTTGTGGAAGCCTTTAAGTAACTGAGTGTTTTACCCAAGCGTGCCACAAAGATGGCAATTTGTGACAACTGGGGAAAAGTTACTATTTCAGAAGTTAGGATTTGTTGTTGTTGTTAAGAGAACCTCAACCTCATGCAATACATTGACCTTAAAATACTCTTTGAAGGAGAGTGGAAAACTACTTCCTCTAAGAACAACTCACCACCTTAACTACCTTATCTCAGGGAAGCTTTCTTGCTATTTTCCTTTCTATTCAGAACAAGTTCCCTATTGTACACCATGATCTACTCATTTGGAAGCAAGAAAGCTTGCCACAGAGGCCTTGGCCATGTTGGAGAAAGACTGAGAGGACAAAGTGAGAATGAAGTATTTTACAAGCTTCAGAAAAATGTAAGTTAAACATACCAGATTGCAAAAAGTGGAGGGTTTTTTCATATAAATAGCTGCAGAACTAAAACAACTGAATGTTACCATATCTAAACCATTCAGTAACTGTACTTTGTTTCATACGTCCACATTCTAAAATGTTGGACAGTTCCATGTTTGAACAAGTTTATCCTAGAAAATTTCATTTCTTAATATATACACAAGAGCCACCTATGCTGAAGAGCAAGCTAAGCAAAGAAGGTTTTTTGTGAGGTCAGATGAACTTCATCTGCCCAATACTTTATCTTATCTGCAGGTGAGTATTCCAAAGTCCAACACCAACAAGAGAAAGCAAAATGCTTATTTAACTACTGCAACACACAGCATGCAAAGTGAAAACATGTTTAAGTTTTAAACTTCTAACGGTGTTTAAAACAGTATCACTTCTGTTCAGTTTTTGAGCACCTGTTAAATCCACCATCTGCAATTCAGTGTTACTTTGGAATTAAGTAATTCTAATGCACTGCTATCCAACAACCCAAAACTAAACTCGGGAACACATCTTCGTTTATGAGGTAGCTCATGTAAATCATTGCAATACTTTAATTAGAGGAGTAAGTACTACAAACACAAAGACCCCCGCTTGTGAAACATAGTATAGCATTGCAGAGACGTGTGAACTTTTTTTAATGTCAATAATAAATTATGTCTCAACTAAATCATTATGATTGGCAGACCAGTCAGGGCTCTAATGAGAAAGACAACTACACTAATCAACTGATCAGGGATCGCTTAAGGTTTCAGATTAGTGAAAAATGAAACTGCTAGCTTTCCCCAGCTGTTGCAGATTCAGTGAAAAACTGAAATTAAAAGATGCAGGGAGGGAGGGACACACACACACGTTTTCCTTTACAACTGTGAAGCTTAAAGCAAAGCTGGAGTTTACAATCTAATCTTATAGAAAGAGACTCCAACACACTATATCTGAAGCCACAAAAGATTCTTTATTATTCTGCCTATGCAAAAAGTCAGCAATATGCTATACATATATACACACATACGTGTATATACATATATACACACATACATGTATCTGATCTAGTTGAAGATGTCCCTGCCCACAGCAGGGGGGTTGGACTAGATGACCTTTAGAGGTCCCTTCCAACCCAAACTATTCTATGATTCTACAATATATACACACATATATGTATATACATATATACACGCAATGTTATACAGCTTTAACATGCCAAAACAATTAAAAAAACAACTAGTCAAAGCCATTAAGAGTATTTTGTAATGTCTGGAAGAGTTTAGGCCTTGTTCCAGCTCTGTCTAGAGGAATCATCCACAGTCATTTCAACAAATAACACGTATTTACCAGGACAGAAAAAGAAATTGCTACTTCCATTTTCATTCTTCAACCTGACAGTTATGAATGGGCCAAGTTTAAGAAAGTTAAGTATCAGCATTTTAGCTAATGATGGGATTTATCCCCACAAAGCTTCACAAGAACACGTTGATAAGACGCTCTGTAGCCTACAATCAATAGTTCTACTAAAACAGAATACAGATCCAATCAAAGTGAAATGGAACTTTCTCTATTTCAGAACAAAAGCAAAAAGCTGCCTCTCAAATCCTCAATGCTATAGTATGGTATTAAAATACAAACTTCGTCCTCAAATTGAAGACAGCAATAGCCACAACCAGGGTTTACATGCTCTGTGTGCCCCCACAGAGCCAATCCAACATTTGCCTCAGATTTAGTTTTCACCTATTAAAAAGAACAAAAAGGCAGTACACTAGAACTTTTTGTCTTCAAAGCTGCCCCAAGGCACTCTAAACATATAGACACTTATTAGATAACAATCCTTAGAGGAAAAAAATTCTCCCTTTCCTTCCTCTCTTCAAGAAACTTGAACATTGATATACTTTCACTAAAGAAAGAGGCAACTGAAACTACTAGAAGACTTTCTGACACCTACTCTGAAGAAACCCAGCTACAAGCAACAAATTCATTTTTGTCACGGTATGCTCTTTCAGCAAACACTGCTGCAGTCAGTCTCAAGATCTGGGCTTGCAAGAAACAAAAGACAGATGCATATTGCCTTACGCAAAAGAAAACCCAATTCAGAAACACTGATCATGTGAATCTAGATTGTCTGGGTTGGGCAATAACACGATGATCAGCTAACTAAGTGAAACGAGCTCTTTAGAAGCATCACTTCAAATGATGTTGGCTTCAAAAGACTTCTGTCTACTTTTTGCTAGGGGGAAAAAAAAAAATCAAGTTTCCCTTAAGTAGCGTTTTAAAGTTTAATATTAAAGTGCTAAATACACTTGATATTCTGCAAATAATACTTACTTCATTTCCATGTTTCTGCAGAAATTCTATTTCCTGTTGTGTGAAAGTAGTCATTGAAATTGACTTCACTCTGTGGGGTGGATTCAAGCCCCGTCTAAAAGAAGAAGCAAGAAGTATTTAGTTAGTATTCAGGAAATCTGTCATCATACAATCGCTTTTAACATTACAACCGTAAATCAGTCAGTTTTAAACCCAGGAGCCACCTTTTTGGATGAGCCACGCACTCATTTTGGTACTGCCATACAACTTAAGGCTGTGTAAGCTCGTCTCAAAATAATGTTCAGCATGCAAAGTCAAATAATTGAGCTTTACGGGAGACCAATGTTTGTAACTGCACATGCAAACTCACTCTGACCCTTTCTATACAAACTTATGAAAACATTAGACTTTTTTTAAATCCTAAACTGCTTCCCCAAACTTGCTCACCCTTGCCTCTACCCTTCATCTCTCAATTCCGGGCCCCTCTGTTGCAGTTTTCTTTCCCTCCAACTCCTCCCTCACCTTAACCTATTCTTACTACAACTTCTATCCAATGACTAGATTTCTTCAAGCTAAACTCCCCAGCTCAGATTCTTTTTCTCTTGCTTTAACCTGCATTTCCTGTTTCCTCCCAGCATCTTTTTCTAGTTTGCTTTTTGTCCCTCCATCCACAGGTCTGTCTTCCTCCTCCTGAAACACTACACAAGTAACAGCAACAAAAGCAAAAAGACAATGTTTTTATTCTGCTCTCAACTGAGAGATACCATTACTAATGCAATAGCTCAAAACTCCACCAGCTCTGCCTTAAGCAAAGATTGGCACCGTTCTCACATCCACGCCAGACTGCTGCAGCAGAGCTAACAGAAACTCAAGTCACTTGTGCTGCCAAAGCCTGACATTGTCAAACCCAGTTCAGTCAAAACCTGCAAGCACAGAGAAAAATCCTGCTGAGCAACAGTGCCAGTATAAGAAAAAGCTTGCTTTCTTTTCAAACTCTTTCTTTAAATACATGCTAACCACTGCTTTTGCCCACAAATACTTAAAATCAAGCCGTGTTTCTCTCAATGGAAACAAGAACATTACATCCCACATATGCCAAACAGTGGAGACACTAACTCAGGCAATCCAATGGGGTTAGTTTAACACTCAAGTTAATCAGGCCTGGATTTTTGCAATACCATCTTAAAAAAAAAATGAATATACATTAACTATGAGATATCACAGAACACAAAATTCTGTGGTTATGTATATGAGAAGAAAGTTTCCAGAAAGGAAGTTGGGGAAAACTTTCCAGGGGTTTAATACGGGGCTAACAAATTGCTGACAAATCAAGTGGTAAGAGTTGGCTTTATTGCTTGTATTTGTTACTTTGCTCTAATTATAAATTTGGTTCAGATTGCTTTTAGGAATTAAAACAACAAAACAAAACAAAAATCACTGACATCCAATTTAAGACGACTAGTAGTCTTCCAAGAACACTAGCTATAAATTAAATTGTTATCCATCAAAACAGCAAACAACAAAAATCTGACGTTCCCAATATTAATGCTTTCTGCTCCACTTTTAAAGAATATTTTTAGCACTTTGAGTTTCTGAGTAAGTATAATGGGGAAAAAAAAAAATCATTGTGCATTTAGCTTGCAAATCCACCTTGACACGTAAATTCACACTGGACCTGTAAAAAGACAATTCTGATCCTATGTTAAAAAACTTTCCACATTTTTAGTTAAAAGTTGGATACTTATTAGAACATTAAGCAGTAACATTTTAGCCTAAGTCTCACTAAAAAACAGATTTAAGACACTCAATGTTTGAAACAGTTGGATAAAAATAAACAGTTAATTGTATTTTGCCAAGAAATGCAATGAACTTAAGAGTACCTTAAAAACAGAAGTCTCATACAAACCTACTGGCACATGAGAATTAATTTTACAGAATGATGTTTGCTTAAGCAAATTTTTCAATTCCGAGCATCTAAAATTAGACTCCATGGTTCAGCACCTTGACAAGAAGGCAGAAGTAGTTTTATTAAGGTTAGTCAGAGAGGTTTCAAGATAGTTTATTCAACTCAACCATCAGCAAATTAATTTCTTCTCTCAAAATGTTTAAATTCCATGGGAAATTGAAATTAACAGTTTAACATCTTTCATCTAGTTGTAAACCAAATCCACATCTACATCACAAATAAAAAACACTTATTAAAATACTGTATTATTATCCAAGATTTTTTCTGAAGTAAATACTCATTTTAAGATGATACAACTTCAAAAAAATCTGTAAGAGTTCTATGCAGTTAAAATTCATTGTTTCAGAGCTGGTTCTAGTATTAGGGTCGGTTGTTTGGGTTTTTGTTTGTCTGGGTTTTTTTTTTAAACACCTTCTTGGTCTGTGCATGTGATTACATTTCACTGTAGAATCGCATATTAAGTGACAGCATAGAAAAAAAGTTGGCATCCACCTGGCACGTCACATAAATATGCTCCATCAAATGTTATATGACAATCACTGTCCCTCGCTTTTACAGTAAGTATAAAAGTAGTTCTGTCTACCTTAGTCTGTCCAGTGTACTCTCCTCCTATTAATTAAGAAAGATGCACAGTTAGATACTTGTAAATGATTTAATGACATTTTAAAAGCTAGGGTTATTCACTAACACATTCACATGTTTTTCAGCACAGGTAATACATCTGAACTTTCACACTATCTTCTGCTGGAAACTAATTTTTACAATAAGTGTAGTTTAAGTGTTACATTGTACCTGTGTTTGCAATTTAAAGGCAGGGCATAAGTTATTTAAGCAGTACCTGCTCTACACTGATCTATTAGGGCTCTTGAAAGCATTTACATGAGCAAACACGTGTTTTCAGTTCTGTTAAGCAGCAATATTAAATGTACTTAAAGCATAGACTAGATTTTGTTTAGCCTAACTAGAGACGTCCTACATGCCCCTCTCTCCAGTGAAGCCTGCTCTAGAGTTTTAAGATTCAGGTTATAAAGTTCACCGATTTACACATTATATCCATGACGTGGGATAAGATGAATTCTCACGTCTTTTACACCCTCCTGCTAAAGGAGGGAGACTTGCTCCACTCCTAAAGGTCAGATGACAACACGGAAGCGTCAGATGCCTTGCATTACGAAAGAGAGCATGTCGCCACATCGGTGGCCCAGGAAAATTGGAAATCCTGAACATAACTTTAATAGTCATAAATACAAAGTTAACTATCAAGCTGCAGTACTATACATGCATGTAATTTTTATGTTTATTTAACATGGCAAGGGGTGGGGGGAAGCCTATGAAAAGCCTCCTCTTATGCTAAAGCAGTATAAGAAGTCAGACTGGAACAAGGTAAGAGGCTACATTATACAGCATACAAATACAACCCAAAACATATGCATTATGTTCCTTAGATAAATTACTTTGATTCTACCATTAGAACAGCTAAAACCCTATTTTTTTTTATGATTTCTAACTAGCATGAGCCACTTTCAATAACATCATACCCATGAACTGGCTAGAAGCTCCCTAAAACAGAGCAGTTGGGGGATTTATGAAGAACTGGAGAACCAAGCCTAAGTACTAAAGCAACTCTTACTTCAAAATCCTAAGATACTTTATACCCTTCCTTACCTACAGAGATTACTTGATAACCCAAACGATTCACAAACAACTCATCTACATACGAGGGAAGCTTACTGGTAGACAGCCAAGTACAATTATTCCTTGTGAGGAATTAACAAACCTTTTTTATAGGAAAACTGTATCTACCACTTGCTTTGTTCCTTTCCATGTATTTGCAAGTGTTTTGCACAGTTCTAATACAATATTCCCTATATAACAGGAGACAAAAAGGATTATAGTCCCTTAGTCCAAATTAATAATGCCTAAATTTAAATTGTCCCTGAGCAAATATTTGCAACCTGCACCCGTGCAGCGGTGCCAGTTACTCCTTTCTCTGCTACAGAGTTCCTGAGGAAGACAGCAACCAAGCGCTACCGTAGCACTTAATCCAGACGGCAGCGATCTCCTAAGAGGCCCTTGGGAAGGATGACCAAGTAAGACTATTCTGCCATCTGCATTTACCCAGCACACCATCGCCAGAACGTCCCACACGTAGATCCCACTTATCACTGCCAGCTTCTTCATGCTCAGCAATGGTTATTTCTGTGGAATAGCGCTGTGACCAGAACTTCCAGCTACGAGACTATCCTCCACTGACCCTCCAGTCAATCAGTCCAAGCTTCCAGTGACACAGGCTATCATAGGGGCAGCTACAGAGAACATGAGCAGAACGCGAGATCTCCGTTCTTCAGAGAGCATTGTTAAAACTGGTGCTCTCACAAACAAAGGAAGCTTTAAGGCCACTGACAAAAGATTCTGAAGTCTGGCAATTGAAACATTAAACATTCAAAACGCTGTCAACGAGCACTGAGCATTTGTTACTAACATAATTTAGTAGCAAATTATGGTTGAACTTGTGATTGTTGGCAGAGCAGCCATTGCTGCATTCATCTCAAACAAATATCAGCAAAGTTGTCAGCAAAGGCCAGGGCTGGGAGGAAAAAAAAAAAAAAAGAAATATTTAGAGAGTGGGTTCTGCTGGCATAGAGGGCCACTTTCGTGGGAGGAACGGTGGGCAGACGGCTACTCAACACCACTAATGTCCCCCTGTATCAGATTCTAACGTGATCTCAAGTCTAAGCCAGCAAAATCTGATCCCTTAAGACGCAGGAAGTTAATGAGGCAAGTCAAATGCCAAGCCATCACAGAGCACCCTACCATCCCCAGGTGTCTGGAGAACAAGCTTTAGAAAACCCAGTGTCACAGCGTTCATTATTATTTCTATGTTATTGTTATTAGCAAAAGAGAATATAAGCGGTACTGGCCATTCCTGATACTTGTAGACCTCCCTGGAGACCCTCCACCATCTCACAAGCTCATTTATTTTTAACAGCAAAAGGCTCACATACACATTTAGAAGCACAGCCAAGGTTAATTTAACTTTTTTCTTACAAAAAAACACAAACATCCTTTCTGAACTGCAGAGTGTTCACTGTGGTATAGACATTTCCTTTGCTCTCCAGCCATGACACTGAAAACAAGAAATA